ACCAACGATCTGGGCGGATTTACACTCAAACAGATAGTTAATATTTATATTATATAATAATAACAAAGCAGAGTCAGCGGAGGACGTTCAGGGTGGTTGTCACTCTGAGTTTCATGCTGTTAGGCAATCATCAGACAACTGATACTCGAGTCTACCCAACAGTATGCTTATAAACACATAGGGCCACAAGCATATACAAATTTAGCGCTAAATCTTGTGTAAGGTATGGCTAGAAAGCTGGCGCGGGCCAAGGCGCGACTGTAGAAGTGCTAGCAGGGTGGCGGGCAACAGGCAGGTGTGAGCATGAAAGCGCGGAAAGAGGCGATGGGGAGGCAGTGTACAGCAGATGGGTTAAGGTGCCAGGAGGATGGCGGGCAATGGGCCAGTGGGATCGCTAAGGGGTATTTGGGTGACGGGCAGGCGTGAGCATGGTGAGCAGAGTGGCATAGCCAACAACAGGCCAAGGGATGGTGTTATTACATTTATATTGGGGTGCTGAGGCAAAGTGCAGTACAGTACTTGGTCAGTTCATTTGATAGGTGTGAAAATTTCGAACTTATTCGAGAACTTATTCGAGATCATCTCAGACCGCTTGTTGAGCAGGAGCTTCAATATGTGTATGACAGGCAGGGCGGATTTCTTACTATATTGGACTTCAATATGTGTATGCCAGGCAGGGCGGATTTCTAACTATATTGGACTTCAATATGTGTATGACAGGCAGGACGGATTTCTAACTATATTGGACTTCAATACGTGTATTCCAGGCAGGGCGGATTTCTAACTATATTGAACTTCAATATGTGTATGACAGGCCGGGCGGATTTCTAACTATATTGGACTTCAATATGTGTATGACAGGCAGGGTGGATTTCTAACTTGCTACTTACTTTATAAGTGGGACCTGTGTGGGGTTGGCGGCTGGATCATGTCAAGTTACACATGATAAAGTCGAGGTCTGCCCCATGGATTCTTAGAATTCAAACCTAACGTAACGGAATTGTTACAACACCGAATCTTAATTAATTTTTTTGAAATTATTCATTGTGTCAATCAGCGAATTGTAAATTCAGCAATTCTACTATATATTTTGGGGAAAGTGGCAGGCCAGCGAAACCCTGAAAAAGAAACAAACTTACCCCGACAAAGATTAGATGAAATTACCATTTTAGTAAGTGTTAGCTTTCACGAGCGTTTCGCACCATAGTTTTGTGACAGGCTTGAGAAATATTCTGCCTTGAGTTTGAGACAGGTCACTATCATGAACAAGAGCATGGTATGCATGCATGCATATCAGCGGAGAAAGATTTGCGCCCAAAGTTCCACCTTCCTTGGTACATTCAGTCGTTCTCCCCACCTTCCACATGTGCCAGTACTATATTTTAGATGTTTCATTATAATTATGAATCTACGTAGCCAGTAGCGCCCTTGATGCGCCAGCAATGTCTATCACGCAGTGAGGTCCTCACTTTCGAATAAGGTTTGTTGCTAATCAGATGTTGAGCTCAGTTGTGCTTTGTTTCCCTTCATGGTGCACATAGCATAAGCATAGCTTATCTGTTCATAGTTTTAATCGTTTGTGTTTGCATGATGTGACCACCGTGTGTCTTCAGCTAAGATGGGGTCGAGAGAGCACGCAAGTTCCTCAAGTGTCTTCACAAGGTGTGCAATGACTGTCTTCCAGCAAGCGTTCAAGAAGATGGCAGAATACGCTGTGCCAAGTGTCGACGTGCTACGCCATGTACACCTCCTGCTCGCAGTCACGGACAGGTTTTAGTTGATGACTCCATGTTCGACAATGTTCTAGGCCTCGACCAAATATGCTTGCGCATATTTCCGCATATTTTGTGAGACAGTTCACATAATGAGCGTTAGCATGCTAACGCGAGTTAGCAGCCAGCCCAGCGAGCTGGCCCAACCTGGACGCATGCGCGAATCACGTGGGCACGCGCCATTCAAAATCCTGTACAATGTCTCTTTCATATCATTGCTGTTTGGACTTTCGAGCGTGCAACTTACTTGCCGAACAGGTGTTCTCAAAACATTTTCTTTTCGTTAGACTTTCAAGCTTGCATTCTCGTATCTCTACGTTTCAATTCAGACTTCAATGACGCCTGTTGGTGCCTGCACAAGATCGTAACCAAAAACACGTTAAAAACCAGCTACAGCTGCATGAGAATTGTAGCCTCCATGATAAAAGGCAACAACGCTACAATGCTTCAGCCACGGCCGCGGCGAGCACATTGAGCCATGCAACAGCCGTCTCTAGTCATTCTGCCCGATCAAAGGGGAATGCCAGTAGACTGACGTCATACACCAGGCACATGTGTCATCCCCCACCGGAGACCAAGACATACACTGGATTGACAGCCAACACATTCAAATCGCGCTACAACAACCACTCATCAACCGGCATGACATATACACTACATCGACGGTGCTCTACAAGCTCGTTTAGGATCTTGAAAACACTGAGCGCAACTTTGAAATCAGCGGGAAAGTAAAAGATCGCGCCCCATCCAACAGCAATATCAGCAAAGGATGCAGCCTGTGCCACACTTAATAGAAAAGCGAGTTGGTATAAAAGGTCACTGGCTGGGTTATAAAGTGACATAACGTGTCTGGCGTGCTATGAGATTGGCATGTGTGTGTGTGACCGTGTGTGTGTGGTGCATGTGTTTGTGTGTGGCGCGTTTGTTACAGTTTTGCGTACATCTTTGTGTGCTTAGGTGCGATATTGCGGGAGGATGGAGTGTGTGAGAGCGAGAGGCTGTGTGCGTATTAGTGTGAGACAGTATGTGTAGATTAGTGTGGAAGCGTTTTGAGTGTGCGTGTTCATGTTTACCATAATTATGCACAAGCGCACATTGAGGTGTTGATTCTGGTACATCAGAGGGTAATGAGATGTTGATTATCATATTGTCTGCACTGGATGAAGCTATCTCCTCCGCTTGCCTTCATCAACCTTCGCATTCTCTAATCTCCTTATGTTGTCTTAAGATTGGTTTTGCCATGAAACTCTGAGTAACAACGAAGCAGCCCTATTTTACTTCCTTTTGCGTACCTCTTGCGGACTTCGCTCTCCCCATTACTGGAATTTGAGCACTATTGCGCGTTAAGGCGCACTGCCTCTGTGTGTCTCTTCCTGAGATATTCAGTCAGTTTTTAGTCTCACCAGTGTCCACATCTGGCTGCGTCCAACTACCCTTCAATTTTGGTGCTGTAACTTTGCTGTATATTTCTCTGCGCATGCCAGTATAGTATAAACTGATTTAAGCGACCACCCCACGGTGCAAGCATAAACGGTCGTTAAAGCCAGGTGGTCTTCAGAACCAGGTCCCACAGTGTCTGTGTAGAACTGTCGGTGTATGCGAAAAACGGTCGTTAAGAGCAGGTATTCGCTAAACCCAGAGGTCGCTTACACCAGGTTTTACTGTATATATGGAGCGAGAAAGGCTCCGTTACAGTAAATCCAGCACACCGAAGCCGCATGTTTTCTAAATTGACTATAAAACTTGTGCTTAATGCTGAACAGTTGCACAGCAAAACTCTGAGCTCCTGAGAAGCAGATGTAATCGGCTGATTGTAGTTCATAATAAATATTTATACTGCGTCCAATACCTTTTTTGTTGTTGTGTATGCTTGCATGTGTGCACGTGTGTGCGCGCGTCTATGTGTCCATGTACTGGTATGTGATTGCTACTGTGTGTCTTCTTGTACGTGTGCAGTTAACGTTATGTTTGTACGCACGTGCATATTTGAACTCTCCTTGCAACACCATCAGTCTGTCTAAAAGAAGGGTCTAGTGTGCACAAGTGACAAACTTGCATACAGTATGTAGCCACGGACTATTGTGAGTCGGCAAATTGTCTCATTTCGTAAACTAGTGCCTTTCGGTTCTCATGACAGTGAATCGGAATTCGTCTGACTAAAATAGGGATTTTCACTCACAAAGCAACTGTTCAGTACATGGGGTTGTGTCTACCAGAGCAATCACACTCACCACCGTAGTGGTTTTCCAGAAACGAGTCGAAGACAACCACACTCGCAGCTACATAATTGATTTAGCTGAAAACAAAACAAAAATCGATAAAGTCAAAGGAGTGCCAGCATGCGAGAGAAACACAAATTTGAACACAAAGTGGAATGCTTGAACGACTAAAACCGACATCAGTTCTTGGCGAGACAATACAGGTTGATAGGTCTATGCCTGTGTTGTCAACGATCTTGCCTATGTTAGCAATCTGGCTTAGAAGCTTGGGGTCTAGACACAGTCCGCGAGACCATCTCGCGCAACTGGCTGCATCAATGGGTAGCTTGGCACTTCCCAGAACCTTTGGCAAGTGGGGAGGAATTTTGAGTATATCGGTATCACTTGGAAAGGCGTGAGCTGCTTTGAACGTGCTCCGGTATTGGCTTAGGCCGTTATCACACTGCGTTTGTTTGAGTCACGTTTGCGTCTGAGTTTGCGTTTGAGATTGGAAAACTCAAGACGTGATTATCATACTATACTTGTGATTTTCAGCGCGTTTGCGTTAAAATCTGTGCGTGCGGGAAAATACAAAAATGTGGGGAATCGATCTCGAGGTGGCCGTGGATGTTGAATTTATTTTCCTGAGATCGAGAAGTGTTCTGTTCCTGCTCCTATGTCCTTTGTCAGTGGTGCTGGGGGAATGGGAGTCGATGGGAAGACTGTAGCCGTTACGTTGCCTGTGTTAGGGTGGCAGTTCCGTTGTTGAGGAACATCGTCCAGCTAGGCTACTCGCCGCCAACTAGTCAGCGCAACCTCAGCCAGACAGCCACGAGCTCGCATCAGCTCCATGCCTGGCGAATCCAAAATCAATCAATCAGTACATGTAGTAGAAGTACCCTCGCCGGCCTCAGCAACTAGATGGAAATGAAGATTTGAAAAGCACACTTGAGAATCACTTGAAAACACTCAAAAGCAATGCAGGAAGTGCTGCGAGAATGTGGTTGCATCATCGGAACAACACAGCGAGATGAAAGTGGTCGAGCCTGCTGGGCGGGTGTCTCGCGGCGTCCTCGCCGATATAGGGCGCAATCGCCGCAGACGGCCGAACGCGTCGCCCATGGGTCGCCAGTATTCTACTGAAACCGAACTAGCCAAGGTGTCAGCAGTATGGGGATATGAAGGTGCTACATACGCATGGCCTCGATCTGTCATGCTGTATGCACAGTGCCGTCATCACGGCAAAGTGGACGTTTCCTGCAAGCCGCGCAAGCAGTTTCTCGTGCTCCTCTGGGACGAGCGTTACTGGAGCTTTGCGAACGACTACCCCTTCTCCGTGCGTCCCCCCGGCGACGGCTTGTTGCATTTCGGCTGCTATGACGGCGTTGACATGGTGTACACGACGAACAGAACTAAGCTGGCGGTCGCCGACATTGTGGACTTCCACCCACGCTACAACAAACGCATGCCCAAGAGAGGACACCCGCACCAAGCGTTCATGATGAGCAGTGGCGAGCCGCCATACCTGGTCGGCTTCCGGCCGCTGCTCATGAAAGACGTGAACTTGCTGAGGTCGTTTTCGCGCAGCAGCGACATACAGCAGGCTCTCACTGAGCCTGGTGAATGCTTCTGCAAGAAGTATGTCCAGCCGCTGAAGGTCCCTTTTGAGAATAGGCACCGCGTGCGGGTGTCTGCGCTCGTCAGCAACTGCATTTTCCATGGCGCCGTCGCCCGTAAGAAACTGCTCCAGTACTTGATGAGCACGATCCAGGTGCATAGCATGGGCGGCTGTTTTCATAACCACGCCATGCCAACTGGGCAGAGTGTCAACGCCGTGCTGGGCCAGTACTTGTTCAACTTTGCCGTGGAGAACTCTATTTGCCTGGACTACATCACGAAGAAGTTCCACCAGGCGCCGGTCGCAGGCACAGTACCCATATTACTGACCCTGGATAACATGCCCGGGTATGAGTTTGTGGCGCCCATTGGGACACTACTACGTGGATATATCTCGCTACACGAGCATACAGGATGCTGTTAGGTTCATCAACGACTCGTCGTCTTCGGCGCAGGCGTACTACCATCACCATAGTTACCGCGGTGAACCAATCAACAGCACGCTGCTATCGCACACATTCAGAACTAGACTGTGCGCTGCCACTGAGGATGATCTGAGCGAGTGGTGCGACATTGTCAAGCGCATGGAGACCCGGAAAGGGCGCGAGCGGATCCTGCAGAAGACGTACGCCAACTACTACCGCGAAACGATACCGCGCCAGTGCGCGTCGCGGGGCTCCATGGCCAGACATGTGCCGAAAACGGGAGCTGATGGTCGTCTGCTCTGCTGGGCTGCTGTTGCCATTGTGTTGCTTGGGTCGTTGACGTGCCTTGGCTGTAGAGCTAACACTGTTGATCAGAACAATGAAGACTGATCGTTGGTGAAGGTGGTCTATCGTTTGTGAACATATCGTGGCAACCAGTGAGTAATAGCTGTATTTCTAATTGCTAGATCTAGACATTTTCGTGCGCTTCTTAATTTCGCATTGCGGAGCCGCATCAAGTTGACTAGGACACATACTAAACCGAGTTTACCAAGTTTATGTATGTACGGAAGGTACCGGTACGATGGCCCGGTTTGCACGTACGAAAACTGATTTGCAGGTGAACAGGTTTTTATAGATGAGATCATGCAAAAGCTATTGTGAAAGAGTTCTCACAGTCTTGATTTACAGCGCTGGTTTAAGGTGTGCATCACACTCCGCAGCGCCATACCGATAGCTGGAACAGTGGAAGCTGGATAATTCTTCTGGCTTTTGCCAGCACTTGAGCTTGATTCACCGAACTTGATTTTTGAGGTACTGCTTGTCTGCAGCCTGCAGGCACAGAATGATATTAGTGTTGAATGGCTTGCAGTAACTGTTGTTAGTTTCAAAATTTTGTCAGTGTGGCACACGTGGAAGATTGATATTCCAGTATCCTTGCTGTGCATGAATGCATGCCGACTCAGGCCGCGGCGTAGCCTGCATGGGGTACGGGGGGGGGGGGGGGGGGGAGTAGCATGTGCACCCCCTAAAGATGTCGCCCTAGGTTCAGCATGTACATAATGACCACGAATGACATGCACCAGCCATCCTACGCATATGCGGCCGTGCACCCCCCCCCCCCTAAAAGGGGGACCAGCTACGCCCCTGCGATCGGCCTTGTAAGCACTGTAGTGTATGTCTACTAGTCCTCTCAGTAGGGACTCGGGTTTAGACCAACGTACAGGCGTTTTCTGATTCACGACATACCGTGTATGGAGCGGAACGTGGTTGAAAATCAGAATGGAGCGCATTATGCGAGCTGTGAGGGTGCTTAGCTGAAGACGTTTCCGAAGCACGAAATCAAAATATTCGATGATCTTCGAAGCTTCGTCTTTGACCAAGTTTGGTCCTTTCTCTTCATGCTTTTCTTTGTTCCGTGTGACTAAACACAACATTGCGGACCTGCAACCTCCAAGCTATCTGCACTGTCAGCCCTTGAACCCAGAGTTTTTTAACCTGATTTTTATTCTACAGGTTTGATTTTGCCTATAAGGGCATGTTCGATTGGTAGGATCGATTCAGGATCCGGATCCGCCACTGGATTCACTCCCTGATCCCTTTTGATTGGTCGGATCCGGATCCGGTCAACCCACCTACCGGTAGCTCTGGGCCAACAGGGTTGACCTATCCAAATGTGACCTTTGTGGGTACATGTATATGGCGGGTAAAAATCATTTTTTGTACACTTTGTGGTACGCCCACACTTGGACCGAGATCCTCTTGATTCTTGTTGACTTTTCGTACGACGCATGTGCATGCGATGAGTACGACTTTCACCCTTTTGGGTGACCTCAGGTGGATAGTTGCTTCATAACTCGTTTCGATGTGATTTCTATTTTAAAATTACCTGGTATTTGATAAGAAAAGGGTTTGCTCCCCACACCGGAGCTCGCGCTATTCCGCCGACTTTACTTGACACTTGACTGACTCACGACTGCCATCCAGAGCACACGAGAAGTCCATCGAACCTTCGACTCGGCAAACCTGCAAGAAAGCACCACTCCCTGCTCAATACACAGTGTTTCGGGGAGTTCACCCCTCATCAGTTGAGCTTGAGTAGGCTGAGGAAGATTGTGCCTGAAGAGCACTACTTATTATAGTGCTCTCCAGGCACAAACATCACCAGGGATACAAACTTATAGAGACGCTCCGTTTCCAGCGCGACAAACACCTCGTGAACACCAGATAGCAGCGTGAGTCAGTGTCGCTCCTGGACGGTGAGACATAATGGTATTTAAATATCAAAGTTTTTCACAAAACGAAATAATTTTCGTTATGGGGTGGGAGGGGGCAGGGTTGACCAATTTCGTTTCAGAAAACATTGATACATGTACACGGCCAAAGGAGCAGTGACACACTTGCGACTTTTGCATGTATTGTGTCAACATTGTTTACGTTCTTAGGGGGAGGGGGGGTCGGGTCCAAACTAAATAATTTGTTTGGAGAAAAAAGTTGGACATTCACGGACGGCCCCTAATATGTGTTACTTCCTACACAGCACACTTGGTCAGATTAAAGAAAAGTACTTAGAAGTACATGTATCACCAGTAAATATCAGGTCACAAATCAGGTCAAGCAGATAAATACTCAGGTCAAGTTGGCATAATAATAATTATTGCGATCGCTGGTCAAATTTAAAAAAGATTTAAAAAAAGCAGATAAATAATCAGGTGAAGCAGATAAATACTCAGGTCAAGTTGGCATTATAATAATTATTACGATCGCTGGTCAGAGCGGGGCATGCAGCAACAGTAAGCCAGGGAGAGAGCAGTACTGCCAGCAGGGAGTACAGGCACAATGAGAAGTATAAAAAGTTTTTGCCAGCTAGCTGGCCTCTGCGTACACCGCAGACACACCCACACACAACAGAAAGATTCAAATATACAGATCACAGTAGTAGTGTGGTCTTTGTTCACTCACGGTGGAAGATGGAAGAGCTTAGCGTAGTGTATAGATGAGCATGAAGAAGGGCATGCCACCTCACGCATATACATGTACACGTATGTACCAGACCAACATGATACAAGAAGTGAACCACTGTGGCGAATGGGGCCGCCGGATAATTAACCAGCCCGAAGATGGCGGAAAAAACCTCAGGACCCCGGCGGAGGCACAACCCTGAGGAAAAACCGGTTAGAATAACCCCATAAGTTAAATGAACAAAACGTAGCCTGCAGGACATATCCCGAAGTGAGAATAAAGGTGTGTGAGGCTCATCCGACCACAAGTCTCGGAGTCAGAGTCACACAAACGCAAGAGTGATTAACTAACTTGATAAGAGAGAGAGAGTGAAAGTGTGTGTGTGTGTGTGTGTGTGTGTGTGTGTGTGTGTGTGTGTGTGTGTGTGTGTGTGTGTGTGTGTGTGTGAAGGGGGGGGGGGGGGGGGAGATAAGATAAAACATTGGGGTGATTCAGCCATAGTGTGAAATGTAACATAGTGAGATGTAGCTTGGAGCGACGGCACCTCAAACAAACACAGTCCGTGTCACTTCTCACGTCATTCACTATCCGCCACGGCCAATCCGGCAAACGGATTGCGGGTGGCCGGAGCGGCTGCAGCCGCACGTGACGCTACCCCATGACAGGAACTATCATCTGCTGACGATGCGGCAGCACTGGAGTTGCTGCTAGTACTAAGCTGTGCCAACAGGTTAAGGCTCAACTCATCATGGTCCAAGCCCTCCAGTTGGACTGCAACAACGCTCTTTAGTTCGGGATGGCACATCCATTTCGCTAAGTCTTCAGTGTATTTCGGCGGTCGTACGAACAGTGCTATTCTGCCGTCTGTCGCCAGGCGCAGAATATGATTCGCGGCACGGTAGGTATCGGGACGGGCGCCCTTTGCGGTATGGAAACCCCTTTCCTCCGCCCACTTCTCACAGACGTCCCACGCGGACCAGGTGTGGCCGTCACAACGAAGTGAGCTGGAACTAGCGTGGCCGTTGCACGGCGGGTTTGTTGAACTTTCGACGCATGCATCGGATTGTGGAGGAACAGTCGGGCATGTTTCACTTGTTTTCTTGGCCAGTCCCAGTCGGTACAGCAAATTACATCCCAGGCGCGCCGCCAGATAGCCGACGGATGTATATGGCTCACGCACTTGGGAAATAGGGTACATTCCGGACAGGATCTGTAGCTGTTTTTCAACACGTGACGGAAAGACTAGGCCAGGTGAGTCGCACAGGCGGATGTGCGGTGTGAGAAAGTGCGTCTGAAAGTGCTTCGTGTGGCCGGGTGTGCGCGACGCACTTACAACTTTCTTGCCAATCAAGCTATTGAGAATGGAGGACTTACCCACGTTGGGATGGCCGACGAGACCTATTGTAATAAAGGACGGCGGTGAGGATGCTGTTGCCGCTGCCGTAGCTTCATGGCCACCGTTGGTACCGTTGCTGGAGTATGTGGTATGCTTACGACGCCGGCTATGACGTACTCTCTCTTCGTGCACTGATGCTGCTGTTATTCCAGCATCGTCGCACAATTCAAACTTTGAGAGTTTATCCGTCCAACCGGACAGCATACTGTGATCGGCCACCACATTGGCCAGGGCCCGGATCAGCTGACGGGCACCTTGTACGCAGATCATGCGCCGCTTAGCGCCGCACCGGGCGTGCGACATCAGACCCTTGGCGTCGGAGCGCTGGCTGCTGCTCTGGTTCCCCGGGCGTGCCGTGTAGAGGACGACGTGAAGTTGCGGGAACAGTCCATAAAAGTACTCACGCCACGCCAGTACCACACTCGCCGGCACCAAGTCTATCTTGTTCAGCACTAGCACGAGCGTTTTGTTCAGTTCATGTACGACGTGGCGGTACAGGGATGGTGGGAAGTGCAGGATGGGATGGCGTGCATCGGCGATAACCACTATTACATTCGACATCTCCAGCACACGCCACAGCTGCCGCCAAGTCTCCAGGTTCCGCTCAAAGTAGCTTAGCGGATGGCCGTGTGTATCAGCCAT